ACGATAAAACCTAACTCATGAATATAAAACTAAATAGTTAAAAATTTAATTTTTAAAACATGTCGTAGAATTTGGATCACTATAAACCAATTATCAACAGCGGAATAATATTCATTTCTGAAACAAATACTTCAAATAAAGGCCCATGATACCAAAATAAAGGCCCATGCTACCAAAATAAAGTCAACTTGAAATATAAAAGCATTACAAATAGATGTACTTCAAGATATATGTTGATTCTCCAAGTGCTCGATCTGGGGTATCTAACCAACAGTATCTGAAAGGGGAAAAAACATTTTTGAAAAGTGAGCTAGGCTCAGTGTGTCCCAATAGTACAATAAAATCATAGTAGGTACAATAACCGAGTAATAGTTCAGTAAATCATCATAAAATCATAATGAAGTTTAACTTTTGAAACTTATAGTTTAAATCCCTTCTCCTGTACACCAACCGCAGTTCCCCAGAACTGCGTCCGTAGGGTTACCTTAAGCACACAGCAAAAAGGAAGCCTACCTAAGGATAAGCTTTTGGGCATGTATCCTTAGGTCCGTAGGGCTTACTCTAAGCACAAAGCAAAGAGGGCCAACCTAATAGAGCATCTTGGGGCTCGTAAGCCAACCCAATAGTCCATTAAGTCCGTAAGGTTTACCAGCTTGATCAGAGCTATACCTCCGTAATTCAATCCAACCCAAAATCAGTATTTCAAAAATACTATTTATGCAGTAAGCATAATTTCCATAAATCAGTAAACATCGTTATCATATATTAATGAAAACCAATAGTCATATATCAGTCATTGTCCATAAACCATCAATAAACAATAAATCATAGCTTTCAATGTACCATATTTCAAAACAGATAAAATAATTAAATAATACTTAGGGAACACACCTCGATAATAGGATCAAACTGTAGATCTACTGAGTACTGGCCTCGCCACGTTATGCTACAGTTTTCGAACCTAATTCATAATAACACTACATTACTAGAGGGTAACATAATCAATTTCTAAAATTATAAGATTTACAGGTCTTACGGGTGAATACTGGCACTCGTGGTTTAACTGATCTAGAAGAGCTGGGTCGAGCTGTCGAACGATCCGGAGAGTCTCTTGTACCTTCAAACAATAATAATTTATTAACCCCAAGTCTTACTTAATTGATCAAAGCTAAAATTCTTAAGTATATAAGCATTTTTCGAGTTTGACTATTAATTTGGAGGATTTCAAGTCTGAATTTGACCAAACGAATTGCGGAATCGGAATCAGGACGTCGAAAAACATAAAGTATGACTTTTTGAAAATTCAAATTCTTGGTCAAAATCAAAGTCAACGGGTTTGACTGATGATTTGGAGGCCTTCGGGTTCGAATTTGGTGAAACGGACTTCGGAAACGGATTCGGCACGTCGAAAAATGTCAGAATAGATATACTCGAACAAAATCAAAGGTCGTTTAAAGCTAGTCAAAGTTATGGTCAAAGGGGTTCAATAGTCCACATTCGAAAATTTCCAAAATATCACCTTTTTTTCAAAATAATTCTCAGAATGTCACATTTTTTAAAACATTTCCTAGAATGTCACCTTTTTCAAAATATTTCCCAGAATATCACTGGGTCGGGTCGGGTCGGGTCAGACCGGTCAAACCGATTCAGACCAGTCAAACCGATTCAGACCGGTTTGGACCGGTCAAGCCGGTCAACATGAAATCAACCAGTTCGAAGCTCCCCCACGCGCAGGGACGGCGCGTGAGGCGTCGTCTGGTCTCCAATAATTCATGAAAAAAATTCTAAAAATTCTTTTAAGCGATTTTGGGTCACTTACCAACCTCGGTTCAAATTTTTGAACGAAGGAGAGCTCGATTCCAACTCGGCCAAATCTTTGACCGCTTCACCTCCCACACGCGCCGCCGCCTACAGAGACAAGGACGTCACCGTCAGACTCGGAACGACAACAGGAACACGATAGTGCGGGAGGTGTCGAAAACCGATCAACGATCGGAGATGAATTTAAGATTTTCCCAGCGGTGGTGCTAAAAAAACATAGAGACTTTGACTCGAAATTCACGTCGTTTGGCAGCGCTTCGCTATAATTGGTTTACTGGGTTTTGATCACGGGTCGAAGATGAACATGACGGTGGTTTTAATTTTACAATTGGAGCTCGGACGGCGTCAGAATTGAGCTTGAAGGAAGGGTGCGGGAGAGTAAAGTTTTGCAATTGTTTTCTGGTATGATTATAAGCTGCCGACACTCTTTGGAAAAATTGGGGGATTGATCCCTGAATTTCTTTTACTTCTAAAATGGATTACAAGTTTTGCAAACTTTTTAATTAGTCACCAAATTTCACCAAATTACATCGATTTAATGATTTTTTTCTCTCTCGGGTTGTTACATTATTATTTCTTGCTTTTACTCCAAGCGCCATCACCTGCGGTGTTCCCTCCGGACGCCGCCTGCGCCGCCTTCTTTGACCTGTACTATTATGCTTGTCAGAAATGAGGCTTCGGCATTATTGAAGAAGTCCCTGCCGCTGACTCAACGAGATCCCGTTGCTTCTTTGCATGTTTAGTCATCCCACCGATAGAGTAAGACTTAATCATGGTTCGATATTTTCAGATTTACATCCTTTCTGCTTAATCATTTCAAGCACTCCCTTCATCTCTGCAAAACATCCCATCCTGCCATAAGCATCCACCAGACAGTTGAAAAAACACAATGTCCAACGTTACATCAGAATTCTCAACGAATCGTATCCAGCTTGACCATAAACACTTACTAGGGAGCAAAGGGTGACACAACTAGGTTTAGTTCTTTCCTACCGCATTAGCCTAAACAAATACTCCATTTGTTTACATCCTTAACCTGCATTCATTTCCAAATATAAATTAAGGAGGTAACATGCTTATGTTTAACCGTTACTGTTCGGAAGAGTAAAAAAATTATTTATTTTAAAATCTCTTAATTTAACGTTTATTTTCATACTATTTAACTACTCAAAATCATGATGTAATATTTTAATTTCTAATTTACACTTGATCTTACTCAATATCTAGGTAGTTTAATACTATTTCATATAATAATTTAAAACTTCCTAATTTAAAATTTAACTGATTTATCTTTATAACATAAAATTTTAATACACTCATACGTAGCTACTTAGTATCATATCATATTTTGAGCTTTCCTTATTACATTTCTTATACTATATTATTTCCCATTTGAGCACGTTTTTTATAATTTTCTTTTTCTAACACTATATATAAAATATCTATAATCAGACTTGTTTAAAAATAAATTTCTCTTGGTTGTTGTCTACTACCACACGACCACTCGCTGACAACAACTTTTATTATATTATCATCATTACATAGATATACATAACATTCATATGTCAATTCAAACCAATATAACTTCTTGTATATAAACCATTCAATGTAATTTACACTATTATATTTTTATATAATATAATAATTAAAATTGTATCGTTTTTTTTCCCATACGTACTCTTTTTTTGTACTAATCCTTTCACTATACAATTCTTTTTCATGTATCATTTCTTTCACCGTATTGTTTTTTAGTAGTCTGGACGTTGCTCGACTACTAAAAAAACAAGATGCCACATCAAGGTAGATCCTTGATTCTTCTACATATCCGAGAACTAGAAGACAGAAACTAGAGTATACGATTCAAACATGTGCCCCATAACGGCAACCGTGTGGCCGGCCTCCTGGCCAAGCATGCGTCACCCGCAGACCTGGAGATTCACCGATTAAGCAACCCATTACCAGAAGAAGCAAGCCTGCTCATTGGTGATAAATCCTTATCATAGCTTAGGATAGAAAGCTTTCTTTACTTACCAAAAAAGGGGACTGAAGTAATGGACCCAATAATTCAAATTTCGATTTCAAGAAAGTGGAGAAATGGTAAATATGTAGAAGCAAACCAGAAAACGAGAATTAATTTATCTCTTCTCAATTGACATTGGATCAGCATAGCATGTTCTAGCAATCCAGTACTGCCAATGAGGCAATGACAATGTATGCATGGCATGGGCTCTACTAAACCTTAATTAGTTCCATTCTTTGCATACATTTGAAATTAAGTTTAATCCCTCCTTCCACCAAGCCCTTTGTTATTCATCAACCTTTGATCATATTGAAATGGATTCGAGTTTGTTCGAGTCTGCTCCGACCGAAAATGTCGACGATTTAAACAAGTTACTAAGAGTAAATCCTCTGATCCTGCACACCATCTCACTTTTATTATGGTGGAAATCCCTTGCACATTGCCTCAGCTGTAGAGTAAATACTATTATTAATTCAAAAGGAGGATAATATCGTTTAAAGAGGCCCTATGAATATTGAGCGTTGTTGTATATCATCAAGCCCAAATAAGCAAAGGAGAGAATTCGGGCCGGAATAAGGACTTGTGGCTTCAGCGATCTCACTGATTTTTAGGGTTAGGTTGTTATCCTCATTCTTTTACCAAAACCCTAATTTTTATCCATATAAATACATAACCACCAGACTATCCTTTCGTTGCAGCTTTGTTAGTATTACTGTGCAGTACCCTATCTTTGATCTACACTTTAGTTCTTCCTCTCTGAAGAATCTTTTTTCCCCCAATTTTCGATTGCTTTTGTTTTTTTTTCTTCTTCTGCTCTCATCGGAGAAGTTAATCGTAGGGAAGATCGCAGTGATGACCTCATAAAATTCAAGCTCAACAGACCGGAATGCAGATTTCTCTTATTTGAGAACTTTGCGTGTCGATAACCCCGCTGAACTGAGCGATCTTTTTCTCTTTTCTGATTTTTTTTGAAAACGTGAAATCTGAGTTTGCGATGAGGATTCACAGCTCCCTCTTCCGATTAATGTTGAAGAAATCGGCTGGCAGAATCGAACCTATAACTTTATAGCCGCTACTGAGCAATCTCTTGATTTTTTTTCATGTTTTAAAAAATCTAAAGAATTTTCTCATCATTTTTTAAGAGCTTAATGTTTTCTAGTGGATGCTGATGGGTAAAAGATGCTTATATAATCCAACACTTGACCTGAGATAGTTCACTATCGAGTGATGTTTAATTCATTTTCTTCTGAATCTACCTTAAGTTATTCAATTGTATAAATTCGACTGTTTATGGTTTGATTGCGCTTAAGAATTTTGCAGGCTTGCGGAATCATCAGATGATGAAATTGGAAAATCTTAGGACACCTTCCTACATAGCTTTAAAAGCTATGGATGAGAAGAACATTTCCTTTCTGATGATGATCCGTCTACAAATTATTTTTTATTTACAACATTGTGTGAAATTTTAAGAACATTGTATAACATAATTAAATATTCAAAAATAACACTCGATGTGCACATGGGACCAAACGAATCCATATTTTCTCCTAAACATCTGAATCTTGAAAAATTTCTAATCATTCTAGACCTGAAATGGATCAAACGTTTGGATTTACAATGATAATTGGTATGATTGAAGTTTTTGAGCATCAGGTTTGATGAATATTATGCAAAAGTGAATCAGCATTGATTGGATGATATTGAAGGAATTGACCTATATGGAGGATGCTTGATTTGAGGTAACGATGCCGTCTGAAAATGTTGTTACATTATCGAAATACCTACAACACTTTGTGAGGATTTGCTTTCAAAACAATACCCTTGTTCCGTGTTGTTCGCATCACCCTGCTTCCATTACTTCTGTCTTGAAAAGCCCTTGCAATTGATTTCCATTCTTCGATGCTCCATATGATGCTCAAGACTACCAAATGCTACTGCATTCTTTGGCGTTCATTGAGGATTATTCTTCTTACAATGTTTCCAATTTCCTTCTTGTTGATACCACTTGCTTTATAAGTGTCTCTAGTATGTCTTTAGTACTCAAGTCCTGTGTCACATAATCCCATGCGGACTACTGAAATTCCATGTCATTGGTTAAGGTTGGGACAAGATTTGTCACAGGCTTAGCTATATCATTGTCTATGCCGATGATATCCGCCATGAGGAGATGATCTTCTCAGCTTTTGAACTCTCCCCTGCAGTTCTGATCCCTTTCTCCAATGTTTCTTATTTGTTTAGGTTTCATAACTGCCACATATATTAACGTTTCTTTCTTGTATGTAAAGTAGCTCATCGGCAATCTTTGGGCAATGTTTACATTCTTTGAAAATAGAAACCGTGCCTTTTGAATAACTTTTTTATCTTGAAGGAATCCATCTTGAGGACGAAGGATACATTGAAAGATCAAATTCAGTAAATACCGAAGTCTTCTCCCTTTAGGGTCCACTAGTAGAAAGGACTCTATCATTGGCATTGTTTTCTTCTTAATTAATACATTTGCTTAGTGCTTTGCCAAAATTTCCAGTCATCTACGGTGAATGTGATGCCAATTGACTTGACCAAAAATACCTGTGCCTTGATGAAAAAAAAAAAGAATTTTGTAATGGTCCTCTTGGTTATGAATTAATTTTCCTTTGTTATCTAATAGAACTTATGGTTTTCCATATTTTTTAGCTCCATCTCATTTCTCTTCTTTTTTATATTTGTCCATTTATATGAATCTGTCATGGGAATTTCTTGCTTTCCAAAGCTGGTGTTAGCCCACTTCTTCCTGTTGTTTATAGAACATGTTCATTCACTAAGTTCTGATGAGTCGTTTGCTCTTCTGGACTTGAAAGCCTATATAAGTCCTCCTGAATCTCAAAATGTCTTGGCAAATAACTGGACTACAGCTACTTCAGTTTGCAATTGGATTGGTGTCATTTGTGGTGGCCAACCTATGAGGGTCATAGCCTTGGACCTTTCTTCCTTGGGTATAGATGGCACCCTCCCTCCAATTGGTTAGCTATTTTCTTTCACTCCAATAACACTTTTATGATTCATTTCCAAACGAGTTGGCTCAGTTTTGTACCTTTCTCCCAGCGGACATGGTCAACCGACTTCCGCACTTAAAGGAGCTCTATCTCTCTAGGAATCAACTTTATGGACAGATCCCAAGCAGTTTCTTCAACTACAGACGGCTGGAAGTACTATCCTTGTCTTCTAACAATCTCACAGGAAACATACCGATAAATCTTGGGAACTTGACCATTCTCAAGCACTTGGATCTTAGCAGTAACAACTTGGAAGGTATGGCTGATGCTAGCTCTATTTAAATCAGACCATTTTAGCAAAGCTTTCAACTAATGAAACATGACAAGTTCTTTTTGTCTTCTTTAGTTATACTAGTCTGGAAAACCAATAAGCTTTCATGAATTCAACTATTAGAACCGTCCTATTAGCGTAGAACTAATTAGTTGTACATTTCCTATTAGCAGGTTCTTAAATTTGATCACAAAATATATTTCTATATCTTGTAATTAAATTTCATTTGAGATCGTTATATAATCTTAAAATTGATAGAAAAATAAATTTTGAATATTTCTCCGTAACTTTTTTTCAATGTAGGTCACATTCCAAGCAGTATTGGTAACTGCACATCGCTCGAGATATTAAACTTCAGACAAAACTACTTGGAAGGTATCATATCAGAGTACTCATCTAGGTCAGCTTTATCTTGTGTCCCAAAAATGGAAGCGTCATATTGAAATGTTTTGAATTAACTGCAACATCTGTTCTTGTACTAGTTGATCAAATAGATCTTGACACAAAAACATAACAAGAGAAAAATTGATGTCCAAGTCAATGTGGTTCAAGTCGTTTGTCTTAGAGGAGTATACTGATATGTTGCTTGTACTTTTCACAACATTGTTTTTGATGTATGTCAGATGCATACCTGTATGTGAAATTCACATGCAATTCTGAGTATACATAGGTATATGTATGCAATCCTCCGAAAAACTGGCATAATCGGCACAATATTTCATGGACAAAAACTCATTTGCATTACTAGTTACAGGACTCAATATTTCATGCCTTTCTCTGACTTAGGCATATGGGTGTTTTGTCTGGCAGGTGCATTACCATCAAAGATTGGCCTCGTCTTTCCACATCTTCTTGAGCTTCAACTCCGTGAAAATGAATTTCAGGGAACCATCCCTAGCTCCATCTTTAATGCATCGAAGCTCACTCTCTTGGACTTGGCTGATAACTCATTTACTGGCCCTATTCCCATGACAATTGGCTATCTGAAAAATCTCCATAAACTTGATTTAGGCCATAATCAGTTCAGCAGTGAATCCCACACACCAGAGTCGAGCTTTATAAATGCATTGACATATAATAGGCAATTAAGAAGGATAGTTTTATCAGGCAATCCTCTAGATACCATGCTTCCTATGTCGATCAGAAATCTCTCCTCTTCTCTTGAATATCTAGAGTTAACTGATTGCAAACTTAAGGGTATCATTCCGACTGAAGTTGGCAGCTTAAGCAGCTTGATTTCATTAAAGCTAGGAAACAATGCATTGACGGGTGTTATTCCAGATACAATCGGATGTCTGAAAAACCTGCAAAGTTTGCAACTTCAAGATAATAAATTAAATGGATCCATTCCTTATGATCTTTGTCTATTGAGAAATTTGTTTGAATTGTTTTTAGGTGGTAATGAGCTCTCTGGTGCCATACCAGAATGCCTAGGTAATCTTGCTGCTCTAAAGAACCTCAGCTTAAGCTCTAATAGATTGACTTCCACGATACCGTCCAGCTTGTGGGGCCTTTTGGATATACTGGCCATAAACCTGTCATCAAATTCTTTACAGGGCTCTATCTCATCAGAAAATATAAATTTGTACCATCTGATTGAATTTGATTTGTCAAATAATCAAGTGGTAGGTTACATCCCATACAGTATTGAGGCACTGAAAAATCTAGCTTACCTCTCTTTGGCAGGAAATAGATTGCGAGGTCCTATTCCACAAGACCTTGGTTTGTCTGTAGCCTTGGAATTCTTGGATCTCTCTCATAACAACCTGTCTGGAGTAATTCCAGAATCCATGGAAGCTCTTCTTTACCTTAGATATTTTAATGTGTCCTTCAATGAACTTGAAGGGGAGATTCCCAGTGGGGCATCCTTTGCTAATTTCACAGCACAATCATATCTGATGAACAAAGCACTTTGTGGTGCAGCACAATTGCAAGTTCAGAAGTGTCCATATAGCAGGACTGGTAAAAGATCACGGAAAAGTAGTTTGCTTCTTACAATGATTCTGCTGCCAGTAATTGCATCAATTTCTATCCTATTACTGATATACAGGGTGAAAAAACACTGGCTATCACTGATATACAGGGTGATAAAACACTGGCTATCACTGATATACAGGGTGATAAAACACTGCCTGGAAAAGAAGGATCCACTCTTAATAACAAATAGAACAATTTTGTACCGAGAAATTGAGCTAGCAACGGATGGATTTAGCGAAAGGAACCTGCTTGGCACTGGGGGTTTTTGTTTTGTTTACAAGGGAACAATGAAGGAGGAGAAGAACGTTGCCATAAAGGTTTTCAATTTGCATCTCGAAAGAGCAATGAGGAGTTTTCAGATTGAATCTGAACTACTAACCAAAGTTCATCATCCTAATCTTGTCAAACTGATGAACAGTTGCTGTGATGGTGATTTCAGAGCCTTGGTGCTAGAATACATGCCTAATGGGACCCTGGACAAGTGGCTTTACACTCACAATTATTCTTTGAATTTTCAGCAAAGACTTGATATAATGATAGAAGTTGCATCAGCTATTAGCTACCTTCATTCAAAACATATCATCCACTGTGATCTGAAACCTAGCAATGTCCTGCTTGATGAAGACATGGTTGCTCGTGTAAGTGATTTCAGCATTGCGCAACTATTAGACGAAGGCCGTGCTGCAGTGCAAACAAGGACTCTAGCCACTATTGGGTATATGGCACCAGGTGGTAATGTTTGTGTTTGCTTTTTGATTTATGTCTGTAATTCATGTGGTTTGAATATTAAAAGTGGATTATTATTGATGCATTGTACTTTAACTGTAGAGTATGGATCAAGTGGACTTGTATCTGAAAAAGCAGATGTGTACAGCTTCGGTATTCTACTGATGGAAACATTCACCGGAAAGAAGCCCACAGATGATATATTCAATGCAGAAATGAATTTGTGGAACTGGATATGCGAGTCATTACCTCATGGAGTGGACAAGCTTTTTGATGCTACTTTGCTGCAAAGTGATCAGGAAGACACAGCAGCTAAAACAAGATGTATAAAATCAATCATGAAAGTTGCTTGGATTTGTACTGCAGAGTCATTTTCCGAGAGGAAGACTATGACAGAAGTTGAGTGCAAGCTCCATAGGATCAAATCGCGCCTTCAAAGAGATACCGGGTTGATAGAATGCGAGGAAATGCAAAGGGAATTATATCCTAGGATTTCGTTTCACGAGCTTAAGTTAGCAACAGATGGATTTAGTGAAAGAAACCTGCTTGACACAGGGGAATCTAGCTTTGTGTACAAAGGAACACTAAAAGACAAGTGCGTTGTTGCAATAAAGAAATTTGATCTGCAGAAAAGAGGGTTAGAGAGTTTTGAAGCTCACTCTAAAGTACTGTTGGGTATTCGTCATCGGAATGTTGTCAAAATCCTGAAACGATGCAGTGAGGTTCGTTTCAAAGCCTTGGTGTTAGAATATATGCCCAATGGGCCACTCCAAAACTGTCTGCACTCTGGCATGAATTTTTTGAACTTCCGGCAAAGGCTCGATATAATGATCAACGTTGCATCTGCATTGAGTTATCTCCATTTTATGCATGTCATTCACGGCAATTTGAACCCAACAAACGTGCTGCTAGATAAGGATATGGTAACTAACTTATACTGCTATTACCATACATTCTTATGTGATTCATCTTATGAGTATGTGATGTCGATATGTATGTACTCAATATTTTGGTTTGGGATGTGATAGGTTGCTCGCATAAGTGGCTTCAGCTTTGGCAGATGCTTAGACAAAGACGCTGCTGCAACAAAAACCACTTCAATTGCATCGACTTATGGATATATGGCACCAGGTGATTGTATCTCTACGCTCTAGTTCATCATTATAATGTTTTCAAAAGTATGGATATAATGTATCATTCTAGATTTCTTACATTCCATTATTAATATCTTTTATGCAGAGCTTGCATCAACCGGGACTGTTTCCGAAAAATCTGATGTTTACAGCTTTGGTATTCTATTGATGGAAACATTTACCGGAATAAGACCGGAGGAAGAAATGAACTGGAGGAGCCGATTCTTCTTTTTTCAGCAGTTGACGGAACTTTCGCCTTCGATCCTGAGTTTGATTCATTGTTGCACTGCAGAGTTGCCTGATGAGAGAAAGACCATGACAGAAATTGAATCATTGCTGGTGAGGTTTAAAGAACAGTTTTTTTAAGTGATAGGTAATAGATAAACCAGCCCTTTACGATATTTTGTTTTCCATTGCTTTTGTATTTGATGTTTTCTCATTTAGTGTTGAAACAATTCTCAATTCAATCATGATTCAAACCCATCATTAAAACCATTTTTACTGTTGGTGACCAAAATTCAATGTTAGTAGCCAAACCAACCTATAAATCATGTTTATAAAACATGCATTTCAACCTCCCATATTCATTTTAAAACAACTTTGAAGAATCAAATCGATACGATTTGATTAGAAGCAACCAATCAACAAATTAAAAAAGCAGGGACCAATATGTAAATTTATAAAACTTTAAACACTCGTTTGGGTTTGATTACAGAACTATGACCTTTATCAAATTATGAACTCAACTGCAAACTATTAGTAATTTCTGGTTCCAAATTTGTCGCAATTGTTCGCTCCGCTTTCACACTAAACAACAGCTGCCAAAAGGCAATGGACAAATTGGGAAGGTCCCATTCTTAGACGGTATGAATCGAGAAGAGTATTAAATTTATAGAAATTTTATGTTCTTCCTTGATTCGAGAAGATAAACATTAACAACAATCTCTTTGCATAGTAGTACCAACTTGGAACGTACCCTTTTAAGGGGTCCTTATTGTTTTAGTAATTAGACTAGGAGGATAAGATGATCTAGGGATGGATCCGAATATGATGGTTACCGACTTATTCGATTCAATCGGATTAGGTTTTTTTTAAAAGAAACTTGAGTTCGGGTTATTTTTTAGAGAATATGTTCGGGCCGAGTTGGGTTTGAGTTTAGGGTGAGAATTATCTGACTCGATTTAATCCAAAAAATAATATAAATTTACATTATATATTTAAGGATAATTGCAATAATTATCCTCTATATATTATTATTTTTCAATTAGATCCTTATCTTTATTGAAAAAAATTAATATCTTTTACAAAATATTTATTTTGGGTCAATTCCAGATCAAGATTAGTCATAAAATATAAATCGAATTCGGATCGAATGAGATCATATTTAAGCTCAGATCGGATCATATTTAAAAAAGAAATTATATATTTTTGAATAGGATTAGATTCACTAAAAACCCGACCATGTCCCAGCACACAAACTTTGGGGTGAAACTCAAACCCGTGTGCAAATATCCTCCCTCTGGACAAAACCAGAACAAAACAATAAATTTCAGGTGAGTCCCACTCCTGGATTTCCAGGGCCATTGCACCGGGATTAAACGAATATATCACAATTCGATCTAATTAATTGTATTATATTTTAAGAGCATAAAATTAACATTATCTTTTCTGGCACTCACGTATTTTCCTAAAAATTTTGTCAAAATATATTTTTAAAAATTCGAATATGATTTTTTTAACAATAAATGAATATATATATATTATATATAAATTACACTCATATATAAATGACTGTCCTTTGTTCCCATATGTAATGGAGTAAAGGGAAGTAAGATAATAGGCTGTCCTCAACATCAGGTCGATGACAGCTTCCGTAGAAGACTCCCGAATTATGAAATGAGACTCGATCCCACGATCTCAAAGTTAAAAAACTCCGTGAGACTCATATATAGTGTGTTCTAATTTTGGACTTTTGGAAACACACTTATCCCATTTATGGATGGATTAGATCAAAGTTCAGTTATGAAACTTATCCATTCATAATTTCCATTCTAATAAAAAAATATATATATTATGATTTTTATTCATTTTCATCCTTAAAAAAGTGATGTTAATAATTTCAAATTATGAATATTTTCTTTCTAAATTCCCTGTATAAATACTGCGACTCACTCACTCCCTAAATTAATTCCTAAAAAACCTTGAGAAAATGACCACCTTTGAAGAATCAACGACTCTGGATTTCATTCAGCACCATCTCCTCGCCGATTTTGCTTCCCCGGAGGCTTTTATAGCTACCCTTGATTTTGGTCTCTCTAACCTGCAAAATTACCGCTCTCCCGAGCTAGATAAGCTTCAATCCCCTCTACCCGACCCGAATCACCAACTCTCCGGAATTTTCAGCCACGACGTTAAACCCGAGGCCGCCGATTTCGAAACTCCGGTTTCCTCGGTTTCGGGGTCGAAAATGGAGTCCGAGGAATCGGTTTCGGAAGAGAGGAAGCATTACAGAGGTGTACGGAGGAGACCCTGGGGCAAGTTTGCGGCGGAGATCCGAGACCCGAACCGGAAAGGACGTCGGGTCTGGCTTGGTACCTTCGATTGTGATGTCGATGCTGCCAAGGCTTATGATTCTGCCGCGTTTAAAATGAGGGGTCACAAAGCGATACTGAATTTTCCGCTAGAAGCTGGACGGGCCAGCCCGCTGGCGACGACTGGTCGAAAAAGAGGGAAGGATAAGAGAATCCGGTCGCCGGAAAGTGAAGTCATGTCGCCGGTGAGTAGTGAGGTGGCTTTGGAGGTGAAAAAAGAAGAGGACTAGACTGCTTGACGGTGAGAATCACCTGTCACTGTTATTAAACTAGAAAACGTGATAGATAACGTGAATATAGATAATTAGTGGTTGAATTAATGCACCATTAAGAATGTATTATATGTGTAATTAGCGGTTGCTTGCAATTTAAGTTAAGATTTCATCAGTGATTACCAAGTTCAAAATTGGTTGGAATGTTATCAATCATCACAGCGACATCGATCGATAACGATTAAATTTAATTGTAAAAAAAGAATAATTTTAATTGTATGTTTTTCTTTTTTATATTTTAAATAAATCATTAAATTAATAAGAATTGTTTATTTTATTAAATAAATAAAGAGAAAACAGTAGCAGCCCAAATATTTAAGATGATTATAAAGATATATCATTAATACGAGAGATTCAATTTAAGAGTTTAAATCAAAAATAGATAAATAAGATAATTAAATAAATGATAATTGAAGTTACTGATTAAATTTAAAACATCAACATCAAAATCAGATACTAAATAATATATTAATCCTTCAATTTTATCAAAATATCAGCAACTTGTGCCTTGAACCCCGGCCCTGCATGTGTGTTTGACAAAAACCAGGGAGAAGACAAAAAGCAAGTGAAGCCAAAGCAATCAATTAGCAGAAACTAAAAGCCACCTTGATATGCCCGCACGATGTTGCCGCTGTAATTTGTTTAACCTCCAAAGGGTGAACTTGGCATGAACGGAAATTCCAAGCAGAAAGCGATGGAACAAGTTGCAGCAAATGAAAGTAGTTGCCTGGGTGTTGTCCCCATGTGCGTTTGAATTTCCTTATCCCAGGAGCCAAGATGTGTACTATCTATATATATGATCAAATGGTGCATTATTCAATTCAGCGGTTGTAAATGATACATACAGGATCTGAAGCACTATATGTACCATCATTCCTCGCAACTTACTCGAGAGCTGAGACTTCATAGTGTTTTCGAGGTTCCGAAGCACAATTTTTGTGAAAATTTTGGCTTGGATAGGGCCTGCTGATGCCTCCGCCGTATAGCGTAAGACCCTTCCGGCCCCTGCCTTTTCAAGGAGACCTGAATGGTGCATCGTGTACCGTCCTCCGGGCAGGGTAAGCTGCAGGGAGGAGAGGAATCTTAAGCTTTAGTAGCAATGTATTAATTGACTTTCAAAACAGTCATTTTTAATAAAGAGGAGAGGGAGAGAACATGAGCTTGCCTGCAAAAGAGCACAAATGCAGAACAAGACTTTAGTATGGAACAAGAGCCTCCTAACACTCTCACATATCTGTCAATCTCAGCTCCACTGAAGAGACATGCAAAAGGAAAGAGAAATGGAAGATATTAGAATACAAGATGATTATGAAACATATTAGCAGGTATTATGACTCGCGCAATCGGATTACACAAGAATGTAAGCTAACTCATATGACTTGGTTAAATATTAAATAGATTAACAGGATATACAATTTGCATAAACGCTAGCTGCTACTTTTTAAATTTTACTATCAAAACTAGAAATGAAATCAGCAGTTTCATCTTTAGAACATAAAATAATAATGCCGAAAAAACCGAACCTGCATCGTATATGCCCTGCATCTGGTATCCTTATGGCTTCTGCTATCTGTGCCAAAGCTGTGGGGACTAATGTTGAAGCAGCATCAACATTAAAGGCTTGTGGATCAAAAGATGATATCACAAATTCTTCAACATGTTTCAAGGCCAGCCTTCCAACCCCATCAATGTTCTTCATCTTCGAACTGCCCGGTGACGAAGGTGGATACTCGACTGCTACAGCTACATCTACTCTGTAGATCGATAAGCCAAAATTTACATCTCTAAAGTAAATTTTAGAACCAATGCCATTTCTTTACCAATACTAATTCTGATTCTTTTCTCTTCTTATTTGGTTCTACTCAAAGCAGTCTCAAAATGTTTTCCCCACAATGAATGTGTCTTCATATTAGTGTTTGCCTATTCATGATAACTTTCAGAAAATAGTTATACATACATCTCATCAAACGTGTAAACCAAGGCCAATGCAGCCATAAAACGCGCCATTTTTGAGTTCGACGAACAGCATAGATGAACCAGGGGTTGAACTCCATCATCTTGTATTATACGAAGAGCATTATCATGGTAAAAATCCAAATTCCAGAGTGCTCCAGCAGCGAGCAAATGGATATCCTGAAAGAAATAAAAAGAAATGTACTAAGAACTCTATAGGCAGTTTAGACAGCTAAAAAATGATCAGTCCAGATGAATGCATGTTGCACTTTGTTAGACGACTTATTTTATACTAAAGTTTTGGGCTTAAGGATTGCACACAGATTTCATATTCATTTATGCCAAATAAAAAAGATGGAATTTGTATCATAAAGTTGACACAGTATTCACAGAAGGCTTACAACATGCAAAGAACATCATCTTGAACAATTTTGATAATAACGACTCATTTGAGCGAGTCGGGAATGAAAAACTTACTTCGACATCTGAGCATGCCAATGCAATAAGTGGAGCTATACCACCTTGTCTTCCAATAGCAATTCTGCACACATAAAATACATCAATATGTATCATAAATTGCAAGTATATATATATATATATCAAAAAGACCATTGAGACATGGAACACTGAAGATGAATTAAGTGCAGACCTTCAGATTTATACACAAATACTAAATAGCATAAACAAGGCCATCATCGCTTCAATTTGGTTAAATGGAAATGTCTTGATGTAATGTTACATAGTAACAAAGCAAAGGCGAACTTATTTCACCTAAGAACTTGTTCTACATATATTATTGAATGCTTTAAAGAGTGAACAATTATGGCAAAGAAGTTTCGGTTTCGTACTACACCTGTTATTTCCAGACAGTAACAACGCCCAAAGAGCACCTGCAACTCTTTCTTGAAGACTTTTGGAAGCACTTATGCTAGATCGAGCCAGGGCAACCTAATCATGCAAAATCAGAATAAAGTTTTAAGACCTGAAAGGAAGCTGATAGATAATAATATTTCTTTCTTCAAAGCAACAACAACTGGAGGGTTATCAGTTAAAGGTTTAAATCCAAAAGAATAGTAAACTTTGTTCTTGTTCAGAGTTTGTTTAGGAGGCAGTTGTTAACACTAACAGATCCATCAAGACAATGATTTATCAATATAAATTGCTCTCACAACATCAAACAAAATCATCTCAAGGAATGCATTTTTCTTCCAATTCCGACATCAGACACAATTAACTTCACTGATTTTTACATAGTTTTTGTTGATTTATAGAAGAATCCTCCAAGAACCTCTCAATTCGCACCCAAATCTCCTCTCGTAGTTTATGAACATCTAAATGCATCATGATTTCATCACCTCACAAAACCGTCTCATCAACAATATTGGGTAGTATTCTTAGTATTACAGTACTTGCAACTGCAAGCTGCTTAGAACTTACCAAGGGAATAGTCGTAACCAGGCATATGATCATACGAGGCTAAGAAACATGATAGAACAATTTTATAGTTCAACAAATAATGCAAAAACTGAGATAATGGCATATTTGATCCACAGTGGTAAAACTTGAAAATATAAAATAATAAAATTTAACATGCGATTCACCGTACCAGTGCCTCAATACCACCAACAGCTGAAATCACTTCTCGATTTTTTTCATCAAATGACAAATTCCACAAAGCAGTAGCCGCTTGCTGCCTGCTTTTCATTAGGTATAAAAAAATGGTACTTCGAAGGATGGACTTATCCTTGTTTTAATATACTAAATAACCAATTGATGCATAAGTAAAAGAATAAATGCATGAAACATGTAAGATAAATTGCAATATCAAGTAAAAGAGATTACCTTAGACCTGCAATTTGAGAGTAAGTAAGTTGTACCAATGATTCCAATGCGCCTGCCTCTTGCCCAATGGCAGCAGAATTGCTGTCACAATCCCCATAGGCAGCCAAATTACTCAACGCGCGAGCGGCCTAGCAAAGAGGATAGAATCTTATTTCGCCAGAAAAGTTATGGACCATCTGATATAACATTTGTTTGTATACAAATGTAAAATTCAACCGAGCTCCATGAACGGATACTTGATTTACGATGAAAGTTGAAAGTAACTAAATGAAGTTCAGGACCAAGTCTTCAACATGCAAAGAATCCTCATGAAATGTTCTACTTATTTTAGGCAAAGAAGACCAACTGATAATTTAGTCAATCAGACGAGCATCAAATTCATTCTCCACAATCCTTTTCCAGTGAGATCAACGAAAGAGAACAAAGGTTTATGCTCACACTTCTTTACATGTTTCATTCTTCAATTTCATGTCGGATAATAGTAGAGTGGAGGAGCTATAAAATATATGCATTCGAGTGAATATTAGATGCGCATTCCATGCTAAATGCAAAGATAATCTGAACTTCAGTGCTCAATTCCAAGTTACTAATAACTACATCGCCTTAGCATGGAAGACAAATAGTTTTGGACTTTTGGTCAATGCTGTAGTAATCTCATAGTTCTCAGTAATGCAGATCCATGTCCTTCTCGAAAGGGATTCTAAAATATCCATTTATGATCCTAAAAAAACTATATTGATCAATGTGAAGAGAAAGGAAACCCAGAATACCTGCTCCTTCACGCATTCAAATTTGCAAGTCAGAGCAAGCATCGCTAAAGCATGGATACCAACAGCCGAAGCCATCTCCTTGCTGCATTTCTCATCAGCTGCCAAATTTGCCAGTGCTCCAGTTGCACGTTGCTATCATTCAGAAAAGGCTCACAATTTATCTCTAACAAGGTTACAAATATACGTTGGAAGGAACAGTTAAAGGATACATACAAGAAGTAAATCAGTCCCGGAAGGCCGTTTGAGTATGAGGTCAACTAAAACCGTTACACCGTCCGACTCTGCAATAGCTCCCTGAAAAGAGACTGTGTTGAGTAAAGATAGCTATTTGGAAGATAATCTCAAATAAAGTTCTTCAGGTTTCCCTACCTTAAGCTCAACCACTACAGAAAGATCCCACAACGCTCGAGCAGCCTACTAATCTGTTCTTTGATCTTGCTAAACTAGTGAGGACATTGATTCCTCCACTATCAGCAACAATTTTTGCAACTTTTGAGTCTACGGACATGTTTGCTATAGCCTGCATCCAACCAATAAAATCGGCGAGCATGCGGTTTTCAAGCAAATCATTAAAAGGCATAGTTTCTAAAATGATATTTTGAAGTTCAACATCCAACTTCAATCTTAGTGACTTCTAAAACTAATTCCTGGCAACACATACTTTAACCACTTTAAACTGAAGGCCTTCCTAGCAAGATCTTGCAAGGTTCAAAAGCAGCCGTACGCCATCTCCTCGTAAAATCGCCTCGGTTCTCTGGCAGTCAATAGTAGCATTTTTATTATGAATCACTAGAAAGGTTGCAACAACAGTAGCTGCTCTTTCTTGAACTTCCTCCTGTGAACTCTGCAATAAACTGAGCAATACAGCTGCTCCTTGTGTGAGCCAAAAATCATCGAACTTTTTCAGATTGCTTTTTGCAATACAGAAAAGTGAATGTGAAATGGTCCATTCAATCAAAAAATCAATCTCATACAAGTTTTTATCTTCGTTCTTTATTTCTTCCAATGCTGAAACACGTCAATGACATTTTCTAAATTTTCAGCAAACAATGATGCTACTCCCTTGAGCATATCACTAAACAAAGAAAGCAATATTCTGCCTGTGTTATCATGCATTTTGTTTCTGTCAACTTCATCTTCAAAACAGTTCAAGGCAGTCAATACTTTCAATTTTGGGGACTTGTGACAACACTTGGATTTACATCAGTTCTTGAAACATCTAAACCCACCAAGTTAGGTAATTCACTCCAAACTTGTGCTGCAGATCCCCATTTTAGGTTTCTAGTCCCAGCAACAGAGAGAAAATTAAGAGAGCTCAAGTTTCCAATAGCCACGTCATCAAAGTTGTTGGATTCCACAAACCCGATATCGATTAACTGCCTACAATGCTTAGCCAAAGCATTTATGGCATCTCCATTAGCTTCCCTTACACCTGACATCCAAAGCCTCTTCAATCTTGAGCAGCAATATGCAAGTGCTTTAATTGCCTCGCTGCTGATCTGGGCCGAGTCGGATGCTCTCAAGCATCTCATGTCACAACAAAGATCACTACTTAGTTCTCGAAGTTCCCTTGCTTGAAGACTAACTATCGCATCTGCCGAGTCAGCTGAACGAAGTTTAAGCCTCCGGAGATTCTTGCATCGTGAGGAGAGTGAGACTGCAGCTGCAGTGTTGAATTTGTAAGAACGGAGGTCCAATGACCCCATAAACAGGGCAACGAACCTAAGAGCCTAAATGTTCGACAAGTTGATGCCAAGATAGCTCGATCTCGATAATTTAAATACGAAAAGAGTTGAGTAACTGTGGGATCGGGCAAGGTTGTCCAATCAACTCCACGAATTGTATCTGAGTTCAAACATCCACTACCTGGGGCCTTTGAACTAATGTTTCTCTGATAATTTTCCTCACCATGTGAACAATTTTTGCCTCACTCTTTGACTCATATCCTACAAGTTCTGGAGCACTGCTAGCAAGAAATAATGACAAAAACAGTATGTTCACTAATGAAGAAAAAAAAAACCATAAGCTTGAACACAAGTAATCATTCAATTGAAAAAAACATGCACGAATTTCAAAACTACAGAGGCAGTGAAGGAAAAACTTAAATTTCAAGTAACAAATTACAATCCCACTTTCCCAGGAACTATAAAATAAACATTGAGCATGATGATCAATCTTGAGTTTCAGTAAAACAGATGAAATATCTGATCAAACAAACTTCATTTTCCCCATTAATAAAAAGTCGTCGAATTTAATCAACATGTAATCAAAGAAGAATCATTTCGACAATTCCCAGACACCCAGAACGTCAATTCACCAAAAACTCAACCCAGTTCAGAAATCGAGAGAAAAAAATAGTCAAAGTTCAACATAAAGAATCAATGAATATACCTTTGAGATAGCAGAAATTGGTGAGAAGGAAAATACTTCGAAACCAAGAACGAGCTTAATATATTTAAGGTCATTCATTCCTTTTTGGCGTTTAAAACGTCAAAACAACAGTTAAAGACAAGAAAAAGAATCGTTGCGTGCGTCACAAGCTTTTTCGATTTACGGACAAACAAGAAAGCAATGGTGGTTTTCATCATACCTTCCAAGAATTTGCTTCCTCGATTCTCCTTTTTAACAGTACTGGTAATAGATTTGTGATCTGTTTACACTAATTTAGTGTCACTGCTAAGTATAATCAGTGTTAAAGGTTAAGCAGATGATTTCTTATGAAATATACATATATGGATTATTGAGTTTTTTTAATATAATTTGCGATCTTTTGGTGTTTTGAAGATGAAAAAGATGGTTTTTGCACCTAAACATGGTAGCATGTTAATCGTTAAACTTTGTTTAGATTCGAACAGAAACGTCTTAACAATCATAACAATAAACACAATGCTTAAAAGATGTCTTGATATCCATATTATCCAGCAACATATTAAACCGAAACGCATTCCGTCATGTCGTCAAATGTAGATTCAATGGGTTCGAGCTCGAGCCACACCCACAATAAACAGGACTAGAACAGACAACACCATTGAGATTCTCAGCTTTGCATCGAACGTGTCTGCTGTTCCTGTCTCTTCACTCGGAGGCAGCAGCTTAAACAACCCAGAGAAGAGCTTAGTGAGTTTATCAAATACCTCTAGGATCTTTCCTCTAGTGCTGTCGAAAATCCACTTCACTATGTTTATGTTCATTGTCTCGCTTGATTCGTCGGATTTCTCACCCGAACTCTCATCGAAACTCAGTGAACCACTACTGTCTTCAGCTGCAATCATCATCAAAAAAGTTCATTGCGAATATATATATATAGATATACTTGACCAGACAAACACATTCATGCATTTCAGACCAACCTGCACAATACGACTTCCTCAGCTCCTTCACCACCTCATTGTTTAAAACAGCATTCCAAATCGCTTCATCGGAAGATATCGACATTACCATCTTCTGCAAAACACAACTGTTTAGGCCAACTCTATTCATATCGACATTACTCGTATAGACGCAAAAGAAAAAGACCTGAATCAAGGAATCTGTTTGCAGTAAATGTAAAGCATCATAAACGCTGTTTTGATAAACTCGAGTGTCATAGAGTTGCATCGAAGGCTCTATCCACTCGAACTCAGATCCAGTAGAACGAACCCGGTGAACCGAGACAATATCCGAGCTTGGAGAGTGATAACCTGTTTCCTCATCAACATTATAAGGAAACTTATCCCTGATAAGTTCTCTTGACGAGCTTGCACCAACAACACTATACAAAAACAAAAGAAAGGCAAAAGTCGAGTTTATACCATAAATTCAAATTAAACTTTTTAACTGAAGCTATGGTCAACATCATGCACATTATAATATACTTCACCAATCTATAGCTAACACGTCAATATATTAAACAAAACAAAACAACAACATCAACTTAGTTGATTAAACAACGTTAATGGCAACCTTTTGTTCTAATAAATTATTTCATTTTCCATATTTTTGGGTAAATAAATTAGAAATAGAGAAGAAAAGTTAAATCATCGGTATAAAAGTTGATCTTTCTTAACCGTTGATAACAGTCAACATAGACATAACCTATGAATATAGTTGATCGAACCCGAAACCTCAAACGAGAAGAGCACTCCCTTTAACAGTTCTATCGTTCTAATACATACAGAAATGGGTTACGGTTAATCATGTAATATTATTTTTCATTTCGATTCAATTAAACCGGCAATAAATGAATTTAAAAAAAACTGACTTTTGAAGAGCAGAGAGAGCATTTTCGACTTCAGCAACACAAGGAACAGGTCCCAAAACAAAATCATGTGGCTGCCTATTGTCCTGCTCCAAGGTGGTATCGATAGACACCCACTCAAAGTCATCAAAACAAGGAGAACCGGAGAAGGAAGGCCAGTTATTTGCAGTGATGGGGAGACCGTCATTGATGCTGCTACAAGAACCCAAGGAAGAACTCCCAGAAGAAGACGAAGAAGGAAGGTAAAGATGGCCATTGCTGGTGTTGTTATTATGCCTCCGGGTAGCAGAACTCGTGGAAGAAGAAAGGGGCTCTTGGAAAGATGCGGAGGAAGCCCTGGAAACTGCCGCTCTTCCGACTGCTCTCAACATGTTGGCTCCTCCTGGTCCGCCGCCCATGCCTTTGCCGCCTCGACCAAACATATGTGTTGCAGTTTCTTTTTGTATCAGTTGTTATCCTTTGAAACTGAAAACCACATATATATATATCTCTTTTTTGGATTCACTCTATCTTGGCACTGAGCTTAACCGACCGATCTGCGGATTCTCTAAGGACAAGTTGAATTTTGACAGGCGGTAATTTATAGGCCGCTTTTATGCTTAGGGGATTTTTTTTTTTTAAGTTTGGACTTTGGATAGAACAAGGTAGGCTTCAAATTATTGTTTTCTAAATGATAATATAATTATATAGGATTATTATATAATTATATAGGATATGATTCAATTGGAGAAGAAGTACGATCCATGTAGGGGATGGGCATGAGACCCGAATTTAATGGGTTTTGATTCGACTCGATCATGTTGAATTTTTTTTTTAAAAAAAATTATGTTCGGGTCGAATTTTTAAAAGGTGTTATTTGGGTCAAGTTGGATTTGGGTCGATCCGATCCTAAAAAAATATAATTTTACCTTATATATTTAGGAATAATTACAATAATATCTCTATATATTATTTTTTCAATTAAATATATATTATTTTTTTCAATTAAATCACTGTTTTTATTGAATAAAAATAATTTTTTTATTATTTCAGGCCGGGTCGGAACGAGTTCGGATTTTATCTCAAAAAGTCGGGTCAGATTCAGGTCAGGTGGAGGGTATATATTTTCTGGGTCGGATAGAGTTGGCTGAAACTCGACCCAAACCCAACTCATGCCCACCCCTAAATACATGGGTATCCTAGCGTCTGCTCGGGTTAATATATAAAGGATAAATTATGTATTTAGTACTTAAATTATCAGTTTTAATTCATTTTAGTACTTAGACTTTTATTTTTTTCAAAATCAAACATAAAATTTATTTTATTTTACTTTAGCATCCATATTCAAGATTTAACGTTAAGTTTTGAAATAAAATTTGAAAGTTGAGGTACTAAAATGGACCAAAATTGATAATTTAGGTACTAAAAGCATTAAATTTTTAACAGTAGAGCATTAAAATAAAACAAAAACTAAGGGTTATGTATGATTTTTAAAAAAATTGAAAGTTTAGTACTAAAACGGATCAAAATTGATAGTTTAAGTACTAAATGTGTAGTTTAGCCATATATAAATTATTTTTTAACTATGGATAAACTACGCAAATGGTCACTAATGTTAGGGTAAGTATTTGTTTTTACCACTAATGTTTAAAAAGTCACAAATCGGCCAATAACGTTATTATTTGTTATAAAATAGTCACTCGACGTTAACAGCCGTTAATAGGCGCGATGAAAAACGTAGGTGGACCATTATATGCTGAATTGGATCGTTGACTAACACCGTTGGATCATTTTGACCGGCTTTTCTTCTTCTTCAACCCGTTCTGGCGTTCCCCATCTTCTTTTTATTTTCTTCTTCTTCACTTTTCTTATTCTTCTTCTCTCTTCCCTGTCAAATATATAAACAAAACCAACAAATTATTCTGCTAAAAATGTTATATATTAATTTTTTTTTTTACAACAAAATGAACCTCCAAATGAATGAACCCAAGCACATTCAGCTTGGATTTTCAAAGAATAAAGAATTTGTAACAATAAAGAAGAAGAAAAATTCAAAAAAAAAAAAGATATCTTGATGTTCTAAAAATCCAGAGAATCAATACACTCCAATCTAGGTCTATAAGGCTTCAACAACTTCAAAAGTTCAGTGGCTTTCTCTTTGGTTTCACCGCTGCACCCAACTTGTATGAGCAACAAAAGCTTTTGAAATGCTCCAACTTGAAGAGCTAGCTTCCATCAACCATTGTTATGAAAACCAAACCGGACCGGCCGGTTCAACCGGGAACCGCTGCCTAGTCCGGTTTAATCTACACCGGTTGAACCGCTATTAGTGAACCGGCCGGAATCGCTATTAGTGAACCGGCCGGAATCGCTGAACCGTTAAAACCAGATCGGCTGAAAACCGGGAAAACCGCCAATTTTGTTTTTGTTTTTAAAAAATTAAACCAAAAGATATCGTTTGTTAAACGAGCCAAGTCGAACTCGAGTATTGCTGAGCTCGACTCGAACTTGAAAACTTTAAAAGTAAGCTCAACTCGACTCAAACTCACGAGCTAAAAATTATCAAGTTCAACTAGAACTCGAAATATAATATTGAAACTTGAACTCGAAAAGGTTTGAACTCAAAAAAAAAATTAGAAACTCAATTGAAGCCTAAAATTAGAGTTTGATTGAAGTGAAAGAATAGTTCACTCAATGCTCACCAAAAGACTCCATGATTTTGAATGTCAAATTACCTTTATTATTTATAGAAGTTAGTTGGGATGCTCTTCTATGTTTCTTAGTTATGTGAGATTGTTTTGTTCTCATATTTTTCCTCTTTAGACTTTTGGGATGCTCTTCTATGTTTTTTAGTCATATGAGATTTTTTTTTAAAAAATTAAACCAAACAATATTATTTTTTTATGATTTTTTTAGCCCCAAATTTATTTTTTAATTATAGTTATATAATTATATTTATTATTTAATATGTTTTACCTTAATTATTATGTTGTCGTTAATTTGAATCATTTTGTTTCACTTGATTTTATGATTTTTAACTTATATATGTTATGACTTGCTTTGAATATGATTTGTGATATAAAAAATTATTTTTTATTAAATATTTTTGGTATTTTTATTTAATTTTTTAAATAATTTTGACGTCGTCCGATTCTTCTGACTGATCGAACCGGTTCAACCGATTAAATCAATGAACCGATAGCATAATCGGTTTGTTAACCGGTCCGGTTCTGAAAACCATGCCATCAACACCTTTTCTTCATATTTGCTTAGCTTCCATATGGCCGAAACAGAGTACTCGGTTGCCAGTTCCGAAACACGCAATATCTTCTTCATCAGAACCGGCATTGCCAGAGCGTCATCGTAAGCAAATTCCTTCCCTTGTTTGGTCTCTCACAGCTTTTCTATAACACCCAAGGCCCTCTCGAAGTAGCTCTTTTCGGATTCGGTTATGGATTCTAATAGTAAAGAAACCAGACCCGTTTCTACAAGTTCAGCCTTGGTTTTCTTGTTTGGTGATGAAACCATGTGGTAAATCACCATGAGAGAATCTTTCGTGATCGAAGGAGAAATTGGGTCTTCAATGAACTTGAATAGGATTCCATTGACTCCATCAACGGCGGCCGACTGTTCTCCGTATAGCTGGTCGCAAGAAGTAAGCTCTTTCAGGATGCTGATGGAATTTTGCTTCACTGAAATGTCGTTTGATTTAAAAACCAGACCATGCAACACAAAGAAGAGGAACAATTGAGCTTCTTGAGCAAGAGGGAACATCCAATTCATTACATACAATATTTCCTCCAACACATTGGCATTCTTCTCCAATGAGTCGCTTGCGAATGGGTCGAACGCAGCGGCGAGGACTCCGGCGGCATAAGTGCGCAACGATTCATCGCATGTTTCGCTCGCTTTCGAGACCCCATTTCTTGATTTTATGAACGGAATTCAGACAGTCGCATCGGTCCAATCGTCTCTTCGTGTCAGGATCCTTTCAACGCCATGGCTCCGATTCTCCACGCACCAATCTCGGATCATTTTCCTGAGAGAATGATTGGGTATCTGATCGAAACTTGTCAGGACTTGATTCCATTGAAGTGACGAGAAGGAAATGTTGATCGGTTTTGTTTCGTGAAGGCGTTTGGCCGGAATTGAAGTGCTTTACTGATGGAGGAATGGGACAAATTCCATTGAAGTGGCGAGGAGAAGAAAAGTGAAGAGAAAGAAAAAGAAAAATGAAGAAGAAGATGGCGAACGGGTTGAAGAAAAAGAAGAGCCGGTCAAAATGGTCCAGCTGTGTCAGTCAACGATCCAACTCAGTCGATAACGGTCCAGCTGTGTTTTTCGTCAATCCTTTGAACGACGTTGAGTGACTATTTTGTAACAAACGGTAATGTTAGTGAGCGATTTTTGACTCTTTAAACATCAGTGATAAAAACAAATACTTACTCTAATATTATTGACTATTGACGTAGTTTATCTTTTAAATAATTTAGAATGGTTATAAGATAACATAATTTAATAAGGGCTTATATTATAAATAGTATTTTTTGGACAAAAGGAATATATAAACTTATATTTTTTGTCAAAATAGGTACGTAAAGTGTTTTTGGTCAAAATATTGCAATATGCATGGAGATGTTTTGTTTCGAAAGCCAATGAGGTAGACTTCTTCTATTTTCTTATTTTCCCTGATTTACAAACTGGTAATTTTGGAGTAGTGGTAAACTCTTGTCGCTCATTTTGGAGTAGTGCTCTCCTGAGACTACCCCAAACCCACTTCATCAAATTTAGTAGGGGAAATGAGGGTTTGAGTCTCTTATCGCTCATTTTCTTGATATGCTTCTAATCTTAGAGTCAAGGCTGCTGAGAGAGATGACCTCTTCCCAATTTTAAGGTAGCAGACCAAATTTCATTCATAGCTTCGTAGTTGATTAACATGCCTTATTTATACATTTACATAATACCTATATATACTCTCTACACACATGCATACTTCCCTTGCTTTTGTGGAATCTCGTGTTGCAAAGGCATGCCTTTGTGTTTTCGATCTGATATTGGTATTGTCATTGGTATATGAATTGATACAGGAAAACAAATAAATAAATAAATATTAAAGAGTCTAATTACAAACCACTCCTTCCCTGCATAAGGCTTCTGGGTGTCCACTCCTTCTGCATTTATCCAAGAAGAAAGCTTGTTCAGTCCACCTCCATGGGATAACAGGAAACTTCTCAAGGGATACACATACACGTCCAAGTATGTAACTATCATTTGCAATTGGATGAAAAACCCTGCAACTAATAAAATAGTATTAATTAGTAATTTCAATTACGTTTTCTAATAATTATTTTTTTATAATTTGATCATTTAACTTCACATTTTATTCAATTTAATCATTCAAAATTCTTTCTTTTTGTCAATTTATTGACCTTTTATATTATCATCAATTATTTATTCTTAATTTTTTTAAAATAATATTATAAATATATTATATAATTTGAGATAATATTTATTTCATTAAATAATATTATTAAGCTTGTTTACACATGTAAACAAATATTTAATATATTTAAAGATAATCATCAAAATTAAAATCAATCAGTACAAATAATTATAACTAATTCAAATAAATAAATAAATTTAAATGATAAAATAGTACCGGTCGACAATTTTTCCTTGACTCAAAAGTTACTCTTTTTTTTTTGTATACAGAGTTCTGGACATCATAAGTTCCAATCACCAGAGCTTAAAACACCTCCTCGAAAACACATTATTTATTTATATCAGATTACATAATATCATATTGACAAGCCTATCCATCAATGGAAAGAATCAGGCAGTCATCATCCGCTCATTTAAGCTGTTTCTCCGTTTAGAAGATCCACCACAACTCCCCTGATGCTCCCATTGTGCTTCTTCAGCAGCATTTTGTTCACGCGCTTATCACAGAAGCCCTGCACTCATTAACATAATCCCAATCAACACGAGAACGAAAAACAAACAAACAAACAAAATACCACAATTTCTGTACATAATTCACCATTTCCTGCAGCTCCTCCTGCATGGGATCCCATTCAGATGCTCCACAAAGATCATCGATAGACTTCTCCAAATTGTATTTGTTCATCCTCAAGATCTCTTTGTTCAGATTAACCTCCTTGAATCCCATATCTTCAAGCTCCTTCAGTAGAGTTTGCTCGATGGCGTTTTCACTTTCGTCTTCGGATGGTGTGAGAGGGGATGGCTCTTGAGAGGCTATTGCTCCTCCGGCAGTAGCTGTTTCTGAGAGATCGATGATGGGATAAGCCGACAAAGATTGAGTATCGGGTGATGTAGGGACCGGGAAGCCTTTAGGGATAAAGGGATATGCCACGGATGAAGATATTGTGGGTGGCGAAATAGGGGTGGGGACATCGCTGCTGTAGTTCGATGTCTTCTCTGTTGTTGATTGTTCATTTGTCAGGGGCTTCACCGGTGCGGTGTCTGCATTAGAGTTGCAAATCTCAGTGTCTTTCGGGCTGGTAGTTTGGGGAGGCAAATTCAAGTTCAAGCCCTGAAAGTCATCACTACTCGTATCGTTCGGAGAGGCGTCAACCTGCATTAACAATCATAATCAGAAGTGATTTTGTTGTCGAGAGATCAAAGCTCGGAAAGCATGTCAACCTTTTAGAAACATGAGACTTACAAGGATGAGAACCCAAATATATTGCCCGAATTTTACTCCAGCTTGTGATGCCATCCTCCAGTAAGAAACATATCGGCCAGGAACTGGCGGTGCGGTAAAATCAACGGCAATATCAAGTTCCCCATTGACAGGAGCACCATCAGCAGGAATCTGTCATAAGTTGGGAAGACCAATAAATAATTACATACCCCTTAAACAAAATCATGAAGATACTGGACACACATGATGACATGAAAGAGTGCACTTGCAATTCGATGTAAAAGCTAAAACACTCTCACCTCTAAATCAACTGAAGTTGTATTTCTTAATTGGTCTCCCCCAATCCAGATAAGTTGCAACCCTTGAAACCAAGGTGTAGTACCATTATTGCGCATCCGCCAGATCTTTGTGAATGGAGTAGATGGAAGCATTACAGTCCCATCTATTATACTGATGTCTGAGATGAAGCAGCTTTCCAGCATAGGCTCAACATGATTCCTCGAGACAAGCGGGAGTGCGCCTGGAATCTATAAATAAAAGTGTAACGAACACTGTTGAAAAGAAATTTACAGTCAAGAGGAAAATTTCAGGTATGAAAATTACATGATCGTTCCATGCCCTGGGAAACCATGGAGTAGAGGAATACACAGGCCTGTTCATTCTGATGTAATCAGCTTCATTTCCCCTTTTGGAAAAGCAGATGCTGCAAAGATCGTAATCATCTTTTCTGCATTCCCAATTAGAGAAAAATTGTCATTGGCAATTAAGAAAAGAATCCAAAAGGAACAAATAACTGATGGCTAAAACATTTCTTACACTTTGGACTTGAACCGAGGTCCGGTAATGGGAAGAACCCCACAACCATCGCACTGAATTCCCTTGTGGAATATACCCAGCATGTCATTTCCATCAGTCGAAGCGAAGATACTTTTACTATGACTAAAGGGAGGAAGCACAACAGGGTCACTTGTTACCGGCACTCCACCGGAGGGGCATTCATTTGAAGCATCACTACCCATCATGTTGGTGGGATCATATTTCTTTGTAGCATCAATAAAGGGAGCTGATGTATTGAAGCTAACATTCTTCCCCTTCTTACGACCCATGCTCTCCTTTGTGTTTTTCTGATCATCACAAGCAAAAATGCTCGAAGGAGAATGTTGAGAAGATACGTGTTCAGGATCAGATATAGCGGGTGCATCCTCGTTAGCCTTGCAAATTGAATCAACGTCTGTAGGTTTTGGTAAAACTGCTTGTAAGCCACCATCCGGGTCAGGTGCAACCGATGAGGTACGAGGGCTCCCAGAAGACACAACAGGAATGCTCGAATCAGAAGCAGCTCCAGGCTTCGAAACCGGACTCAGGTAGGATTGTCCCATCTTAGACAAGCACTCCACAATGTCACCCAACACCGGCCTAGCAGATGCCGCTTTCAAAGCAGCATCAAGGGAGAGCTTTGAGAAAGCATCACTAATAGCCCCACGCAGAGGCTCCGGTAAAGTTTTCAGAACATCAGCAGCACCAGCATTAATCCCCTCTGATGGAGGCTGAAAAGGTGGGGATCTCAAGGTAGAAATCCGGCTCAATGCACCATATGGTTTACAGAGCTTATCATTATCCCGCTTCACATTAATCCTCAAGAATTTGAGGCGCTGCCGCATTGCGTCAAGCAGATCATCATCATCCACAAGAGTAATAACATCCCCATCTTCATCGATATACGTCAGGCTAAATTCAGTATCAACAGGAAAATAAAAAAGGCCCTTGATTTTTGCCCTGAGTCCAGCCATATCAAGACCCAGCTCTTCGCCGTCATCTACACGAGCAGAGAAACGCCTTAGAGTATCGCCGTACTTAACCTTTGCAAAGCCAAAAAGAGAAACAAACAAAAATGATAGGATAAGGGATACAGAATAAATTTAAGAAATTGCTATATTTTAAACAAGATTTCAAATGGAACAGTTATGATCAATCATGAACCCATCCCGGAAATGAGTGAATGACATCATAATTATCACAGGTGCACGATATTCACGAACACAACTCATAATTTTAAGGCAAAACTTTCTCATTATGAGCATAATCTCAGTTTGAAAAGAGAAAAAGTTTCCCATTTTCCTGCACCACATTTCCTCAGGAAACAAACAGAAATTCAAATGATAAAGAACAAAGTCTCAGACTGTGAGGTATCGTAAAAATCGAAACTTTCCGGTCAAATAAAAAGCCGGGAAAATGAAAATCGATTAATCATGAGAAGCGGAAAAATGAACCTTGATAACGAGATTGGATTCCATTGGTGAGGAGATGAATAGCAACAAAGATGATAGCCGCGGGTATTAGAATTAAAGGGAATTATATAACCCTAAGAAAGGTTAATTATAGAGAAACCATTAATTGGGAGACGCTAATAGAGGTTTGGGTTTGCTAATAATCTCCTTGAGGGAGTAGAAGCTCTAGGTATACGGATCGGAAGCCGCGGAAATCCGTAAAGCGCAAGCTCTCTCTCTTCCTCGGTTCCAACTTCCAACTGCTCAAGCTCTTTGGCGTTTATTAATAGTATGCAAATCAACGCAAGGTTCGATTAATCATTCAAATTTTTCCTTCTTTTATTTTGTTTGATAAATTAAACCAATATTATCATTTAAGAAATTTACATGGTTTAATGATATATCTGGTCTTCATATTTTCTCAAAAAAATTATTTTCAAACTAATTTTATATTTAATGTAGCCTTAAATTTAGAGAGAGACAAAATTAATATAACTTTAGATGAATAATTTTCGTCGTTAATCGTTATAATTCTAATGTTATAATATTATAGTTTAATTATAAAATAAGTATTTAAACTATATTCTTTTTCACGAATAAAGTCTAAACTTTTTTTAATCATTCAGATGTCTAACGTTACAGATGTTACCATTTAAGTGTTCGGTCGTAACAGTTGTCAAAAATCCATTAAGTGACACGTGTCGTAATTATATATTTTTTTAAAAATATTTTAAATAAAAAAATTTAAATATGATTTTTTATAATAAAAAACCCTAAATTATTTAAAATTATAAAAGAACCCCAAATCTCTATCCATTTTTCAAGGTCGTTGGCGACTGCTCCTAGAATCTGTCGAATGGGCTCCTGGGCTTCGTCGAGGGGGCTTCACACTGGTGAGAGTGATGACGTTAGACAGAAATGACGGGCCGATCTACGTTGGAGAGGGACGATAGATAACTAGGCAAGCGATTCATTCAACCTTTTCTCTTCCATTTGTTCCTCCTTCATTGGTGAGATTTGACGATGACAACTCGCGACGGATGACCGACAGTGAGTTTCGTTGACGGTGGGTGGGTGTTCACCGACAGTGATGACAGCTGACTACAGTGATAGACTTTTAGGTTAGGGATTTGAGGGCATTTAGGGATTTAGAGATTTTTAGAAATTTGGGTTTGTAATTTTAAAGAAATTAGGTTAGAGATTTGATGATCCGAACACCTAAAACGGTAACGTAATGTTAGACGCCTAAATGATTCAAAAAATCAGGTACTTATTTTATAATTGAGCCTAATATTTTCTAGCATTGATTATGTCTTATTTAATCTTTCTAACTTGCCAAGTGAATAGTAAATTTGTATTGATGTTAATTTGTTACATTTTTATTAAGTTAAATGGTTATTACAATGTAGTATATGTTCCAGATACTCTGACAATGAATGTTGAATCAGTTTTGTTGTCGTTGTTGGTGTTCGAACCTAATACATCTAGGGATAACAATCATTCCTTAATCACTAAAAAGATTTAGTTCATGCTAATTTGTTAATTTTAACTGTGAATTGTTAGAGAAGATAGGTTAAAGAAATTCACAAATTAATTAGATTTTTCATATCTGTTCAGTTATAATTTCAGCACATATATATGCTTAATGTAATGAGTTTGTTATCCTTTTACTGTTGAAATATTTAACTCTTCTATAATAGAATTTGCTTGTTGGTTATAGACATTGGATAAGTCTTTACTAAAATGGGCTGAGCAAATAGGTTACAACATCATTAGGCATGCATTGTGGGCTTCCATTCTTTCTATTTGGAACCCTTTTCTTCTATTGGACTGCTCCACTCCAGTATTGGGCCAGATTTTCTTTTTATGACCTGATCAATGCATGTATCGTTATTTCAATTATTAAGAGATTATTGTTATTACGAGTGTAAATGAATCGAGCTTGAATGAATATGATTATGTATGTGTTCGTTTGTTTACTTTTAAAGGTGTTTATATTCGGTTTGTGTTCGTTTATTTATTTTTGAAGGTGTTCGTATTCATTCATTTAACGTTCACGAATATGTTTATGAACATGTCCACTTAGCATTGGCGAACATATTCATTTAACATTCATTTATATGTTCTTGAATATATTTATTTGACGATCGTGAACATATTCATTTTAAGCTAAAAATGGTAAAATTGCGCCACTGGTGCTTAAACTCATTAAGCTTCATAGTTTGAACCTCAAGTTTCACCATGTGTTCAATTTAGGCCCTACATTTACCAATATTTGATATGTAAAAAAATTTAAAAAAGTAAACGAACTTCTAAATGTGTAAACCCCCAGACCAGGTCTGTAAGTTAGACCCAAACTTAAGTGGTCACATATCTCATTCAGAGGTTTTTTTTTATATCTTACAATACATTATATTAATACAAACCAAAATATTAATAATACAAATATATCCAAAACGATAGCAAATACATGTCACCAGATACAACGGAAAACATGTAGAGATATATGTTCGTACAAAATAAGTAGTTGATCTCCCCTGATGCCAAATCTGCTAGCTTACGGTCTGCTGTTATATGAAAAAGGGTAAAAACTATAGAATGAGCTAAAAAGCTCAGTGTGCTCCATACAGTGTATAAAAATATATTAACAAAATATTTTAATAAAATTTGTTTATGCAATATGTTTTGAAAACATGAACACTACCCCCATCCTTTCACAATCTGTTTGTGTAGGTTCTCCAGAACCATACACCTCGCACAACCAGTAAGGCCCTGAGCACACAACCGAGGAGCCTGCAGATAATCTTCCTCCAATAATATTCCCCCCAATGATAATAATGAACATGAATGTATGCGCGTAAAACAATGAATAATTCTTTAAAAACATAAGAATGTTTCAAGCTTGAAAACCATAAACAGAAATACAGAAATCAAAAATCAAATCAGTAATGTATGGTAATTCAGATGTTGGGTAATCAGTATTCAGAAAATAGTATAAAATACCATAACCAGAAATCATATCAGAAATATACAGTAAATCAGAAATCAGATACACAATATTCATATATTTATATACTTTAAAACAATAATATAACACTATCAGGAAACACACCTGTAACAGTCTGAGAAATCAGATAGGGAAGCCTATCACTGGGTTTATCGATCACGCTCTGCTGCAGCGCTAGATCATACGAATTGGAAAAATCCATATTGGAATCCTAATATAAATAATCTTTATTTAAATAATATACGGAAACCTACGGGTAATTCTTGTAGTACGCGATTCAAGCTGATCTGACGAACGAACAACTCCAGACCTAACTGATCCTCGTTCAGGTGAAACACGGGTACCTTCATAAAATATTTTACTGAATTAATTCCTTAACCAATTCTCAAATAAATAATCAAAATACTAAAATACTAAGCCTTTTTGGGTTCACATGCTTGATTCGGGGATTTCGGGTCAGAATTTGACAAAACGGACTTCGGAATCAGATTCAGGACGTCGAAAAACATAAAGTATGACATTCCGAAATTCTGAATTCTTGGTTAAAATCAAAGTCAACAGGTTTGACTGACAATTCGGAGACTTTCGGGTTTGAATCTTGTGAAACCAATCCCAAAAACGGATTCAGGACGTCGAAAAATGTCAGGATAGGTATTCTCGGAAAAGATTAATGGTTGTTTAATGACCGGTCAAAGTTCTGGTCAAAGAGGTTAACAAACTGTCAACCATTTTACAGAAATATCACCATTTTCGAATTAATTCCCAAAATAGCACATTTTCGAATTAAATACCCAAAATAGCACTTTTTCAAATTAAATTCCCAAAATAGCACCTTTTCGAATTAAATTTCCAAAATAGCACCCATTTCGAATTAATTCCCAAAATGTCACCTGATCAACGGGTCAGGTCGGAACCGGTCAAACCCTTTGAAAACCCGATTAAACCGGTTATTTTAGCCTTCCCCGGCGCGTGGGGGCGCGTGAGGACTCTTTTAGCTGCGTAAAATTCACGGAAAAATTTCTAAAAATTATTTTGAACGATTTCGAGATACTTACAAAGATCGGTTCAAATTTTTGAACGACGGAGAGCTCGATTTCATCAAATCGGAAACTTTGACCGCTTCACCACCATACGCGCCGCCGCCGCCGGAGAAAAAGAGGACACCGGTGGACTCGGAACGGCACAAGGAACACGATGGTGCCAGAGGTGTCGTAAACGGAGCAACGATCGACGATGAATTTATGATTTTCTCGGCGATTGAGCTAAAAAACGTCGAGGCTTTGACTGAAAATTCCTGGCATTTGGCAACGTTTCGCTTCAATTAATTTAAGGGAATTTTTCCTCACTTGATAACGAACACGATGGTGGTTTCAAAACGACGATCGGAATTCGGACGACGTCGGGATCGTAGTTGGAAAATGGGTTATGGGAAGGGAATTTGGGATTAATTGGTTTCTGATTTTCAGAAACCAATTCACGCATATAATACCACATACCTAACATTTTAGGGTAAATTCATGGCTTAGTCCCTGAATTTCCTTTAACTCTAAAACAAGCTATGAATTTTTAAAATCTTTCAATTTAGTCCCTTAATTTCACCAAATTACTTAATTAAATCCTCAAATTACAAATATTTTTTTTTCAAATTTCCGGGTTGTTACAATTCTCCCCCTCTACAAGAAATTTCGTCCTCGAAATTTACCTTATGCAAATAGATGAGGAAATTGAGCCTCCATTGACTCCAATGTCTCCCAAGTAGCTTCTGAGGGACTACGATTACTCCACTGAATTTTAACCATTGGAATTCGCCTATTCCGAAGAACTCGTTCATCTCTCTTTAAAACCTGAACAGGCTCCTCCTCATATGAAAAATCAGGCCTCAGCTCTACCTCATCAACTTGAATGATGTGATCTGGATCTGGACGGTATCGCCTCAACATAGACACATGAAAAACATAATGAATACGACTGAGCTGGGGAGGCAACTCGAGCTGATAAGCAACAGGTCTAACTTTATTCAAAATACGATATGGCCCAATAAATCGCGGACTCAGTTTACCCTTACGTCCAAATCTCAATACCTTCTTCCATGGAGATACCTTGAGAAAAACTTGATCTCCAACCTTAAACTCGATATCCTTACGTCGCTTATCTGCGTATGATTTATGCCTATCGAATGCCTCTTTTAAGCGATCACGGATCAATCTGACAGTATCCTCAGTCTCCTTAACCAAGTCTGGACCCAAAGTTTTTCTA